AACTTTATTGCACTTACCTGGTTATGTCTGGAACTCAGGAGACATGTCCTGGCTAGCTAAATTTATTGAACACTTAAAAACGTGGCAGACCTCATGCTGATGATTTTAGATCTGTGCATTTAACCCTCACCTCTTGAGAAATCCCTAGGGTAGTTCCCATGTTGTGGAGGAGGAATCTGAAGTGCTGAACCCGCCCAGGGGCCCAGGGGCTGGTGACTAGTGGAGCCGATAGAAACCCCGGGGGCTGGCTGCAGGGCCCACCCCCTCAGCCGCACTGCTTTATGGCCTCCAGTCGGAGCCATCTGCATACGAATGGTAATAGATAAGAGGACCACATATTTTGTTTGCATCTAAACTGGGATGTGAGGTGGAGGGGTGGGGGGACGGTATCTATTATGCTGGGAAAACTAGGCTAAACCAGAGCCGTTTGGAGCCAACTGGGACGTGTGGCCACCTTATGGATGGGTGCTAGGAAAGTGGGTGAATTTACCGCGGGAAAGAATGCTGATGAAAAGAAGGAAGAAGTCGAACACTGGGCCTTGAGAAAGACCAACGTTTGGGGAATTGCTGGAGAAAGAGAACTCACAGAGGATCCGGGAAGGTGAGCGAGGAGAGGAGGGTGGCAGACTCTCCAGCAGTTTTTCTGAGGGCAGTGATCGCCGGTGGTCCAGCCCCTGGAGCTGTGAATGCTGCGGATTCGACAAGGACCAAGAAATGGCCATTGAAAGGAGCAACAAGGAAATCAATGGTGACTTACTGACAAACATCTCTTTGGTTTGATGGACTTGGAAGCCAAATTAAAGTTAAAAAAAAAAAAAGAGTGAGTGGGAGGTGAGGACCCAGGAGGCAGCCCTTTTAAGTAAGAAGTGACCTTGAAGGGGAGGCCAAAGATAGGACTGTCCTGGAGGTGGAGTCCAAGAAGTTTCCTTTCTTTCTTGAAGAAAGATACTGGAATGTATCTAATGCTGCCGGCCGGAGCCAGGCTGAGGAGCCTGAAGGAGTGGAATGCATAATTACCCCCTCGCCGGGGACATCTGGAGCAGTGCCCGAGGAGGCCTGAGGCCGGCCACCTGAGCGAGGGTTCCCGCTGCGTCTGAGGAGGTACCCCTCTGCCTCTGCGGGAGGGAGGGCGGTCTGGGGGAGGGAACAAAGTGAGGTGCTTGCTGTCTGTAGACTCGGGTTTCCTCTCTCGAGTCCCAGCCGGGAGCGGTTCCTGGGGCCGAGGTTTCACGGCGTTGAATGCGCGGCAGGGCCTGTCCTTAGGCCCCTGATAGACATTGCCGTGACCGCTTTTCATCTTCACTATTTGTCAGTGAGGTTGGTGATAATACTCCTGTTTGATGCCAACGAACACTGGCTCAGAATGTAGGGCAGCCAACCAAAGAGCACACAGCTGTCCAGGGCCGGAGTTCAGGCCTGACTCCAGTGTTTCCTGGAAGCGAAAGCCAGGGCATTCATTGCCTATTCTCTAACATTTATGTTACCGAGTCAGAGGAAGGAAGTTAGCAAATGTAGTTTCCTTAATGGTTTAGACCAGTGGTTCTCAACCTTCCTAATGCCGTGACCCTTTAATACAGTTCCTCATATGGTGGTGACCCCCAATTTCATTGTTACAAATTGAACATAATTAAAGCATAGTGATTAATCACAAAAACAATATGTAATTATATATGTTTTCCGATGGTCTTAGGTGACCCCTGTGAAAGGGTCGTTCGACCCCCGAAGGGGTCGCGACCCACAGGTTGAGAATCGCTGGTTTAGACCATAATGTGGACCTTTGTCATAAGCAGTACAGGACCGATATCATGTTGTTTATGTGAGTTGATTTGATTTTTTCATTTTAAGGAAGAAATCCTTTTGTTAGAAGTTTTTTTTTAATAGGGCTATTTTTTAAAAAATATATATTTTATTGATTTTTTACAGAGAGGAAGGGAGAGAGATAGCCAGAAACGTCGATGAGAGAGAAACATCGATCAGCCGCCTCCTGCACATCCCCCACTGGGGATGTGCCCGCAACCCAGGCACACGCCCTTGCCCGGAACTGAACCCGGGACCCTCCAGTCCACAGGCCAACGCTCCATCCACTGAGCCAAACCGGTTTCGGCTTAATGGGGCTATTTGATTCAAGGAGGCATAGTTTTATCTTTTGTTTTTATAGGAGAAGTTACTTGCATACGAGGTGTCTTATGAACCCACTTCATTCATAAAGGATGCCTCCTGCATTTATTTCTATAGTCCATAGGACATTTTAAAAAATTATAGATTGATTTGAGTGAGAGAGAGAAAGAGCGACAGTGAGTTGTTGTTTCACTTATTTATGCATTCATTGGTTGATTCTTGTATGTGCCCTGATGGGATCAGACCTGCAGCCTTGGTGTATCAGGACGACACACTGAGCTACCTAGCCTAGGCGAAACTTTTGTATTAGACTATTACTGTGGCGATATATTGCCTTAAGGATTTTTAGACTCTTAAAGTGTATAAAATTCTTTTGTTGATTTTTTTTTATTGCAAAACGGTTAAAAATTTAAAACTGTAGACTGATAGGGGGATACAAATTGAATATGTCCATGATTCCTACCTCTACAAGAAACACTTGTGGTTACATGCAGCCCAGTTTGAAGATCACTGCTGCAGTTTCAGTTGTCCATTTATGTCATATATATATCTGATATTTTAGGTATATTTTTATTGATTTCAGAGAGGAAGGGAAAGGAAGTGATAGAAACATCAATGATGAGAGAATCATTGATTGGCTGCTTCCTGCATGGCCCCCACTGGGGATCAAGCCCGAAACCCAATGGGGAATGGACCGATGACCTCCTGGTTCATAGGTTGAACCTCAACCACTGAGCCACACTGGCAGGGCTATATCTGAAATTTTAGATGTGCTTGAGGACCGACTGAGTAGCCAAGATAGAAATATGGGCCCTATGCTGGGGTAGGACTGGGTAACTTAGCGGTGGGATAGAGGAACCATGATAGTTGTGGGAGGTGTGGGTCAGATTTGCAGAATGACAACTGTGGCAACCACAGATAGACACAGGTGTTCTCCAGATTTTTGCTGAATTACTTAATGGGCTGAAGAATTGAAGCCTGTTTTAGAGATGAGGTTATTGAGGGTAGAGGATTGAAATCTGTCTTTCCAATGGCTTTTGGAAAGTTTTTCTGTTGCATTATTTAACATGGTATCTCTCAGTACTTTTATGTATTTTTAAAAATTTGCTCCTAAAACCACTTTTTAAAATAGTAGGCCTGAATTATTTCCCCCATTTTCAGGTTATATAGAGGAGTGAATTTTAGCTGACCTGCCCCAAATCAACCCCAAACCCACAGGCCATTCATTAAGCTTTCCCAAAGAGCAGTTTGAATTGTTCGCTACTTTTTTCTTCTGAAAACTTTATATGTGTGTCACTGCATGGGTGTTAATCAAAGTACAAGGTGGGTATCAGTTACACACGCATCCTCAGGGGTATCACGCAGGGTAAGTCTTATCTATGTCACACACACACAGCGAGGGGGTTACCTAAGTGGTAAAGTCTCGCCCTTAATATGTCACTCTAAGAGTTCACCCTAAAATTACAAACTTATAAGCTAGAAAATTATTACTATTGCAATATGACATGCAATTTAATGTCATAAATTTGACAAGTTTAAATTCCACTTAGAAAGCTGAGCAAATGCCAAGACATAGCTAAGTTGTAGAGTTAAGTTAATGAAAAATAATTATTTTCTTATTTGTGTCTTCTAGTCTGTACAATTTAAGGGAATCTTGGAGAGTTCAAAGTATTGATTTGATCACCAAAAATGCAGTTGGAAGGAAATGAACTCTTTATATTCCCAGTATAATACTTCATTAAGATGGTTAGTCCTATGCAAGAAACCTCTAAACTAGTTACAAGTACTTCCTACAACTAACCAATTGAAACAACATCCTAATTGTTGGTGATTACCTCTGTGATTTAAGACTTCGCTGCAGGGTCTCTGAAGCTACTGCCCTATTAAATGTCACTCTTCCTGTAATAAAGATCAATAAGAAAAGAAAAAAATTAGCCTAATTTCTACAACCCATTGATTAATGGAAAACAAATGCTATGTGTTTGGTTTGTAATAGTTATAAAGCAATAGTCAATAATTTACAAGCCATGGCGTATGAAGCAATTAAAAAATTAATTATCCCAGAAATCTAAGCAAGATACTTGAAAGTAATTTATTACAGTAGCAGCCACTATTTTTAAAAAAAATATATTTCTTTATTGATTTCAGAGAGGAAGGGAGAAAGAGAGAGAGAGATAGAAACAAGAATGACGAGAGAGAATCATCGATCGGCTGCCTACTGCATGCCCCACACTTCGGACCGAGCCCGCAACCCAGGCATGCGCCCTTGGCCGGAACCGACCCGGGACCCCTCAGTCCGCAGACTGACGCCCTATCCACTGAGCCAAGCCGGCTGGGGTTAGCAGCCACTATTAATGCATTTTTCTGTTAGAGCCTTATCCAAAAGCCAGATTTTACTTTGAAAACAGAAAATCATGGCACTGCTTGTAATTATGACTTGAGGAATTACCATGAAACTCTTCAAAAACTGGTTTTCATTCCAATTGGAATCCCAGATTGCAATGATCGTCGGTATACCTTCCCTCTCCCCCTTGACCGTTCCTACAGGTTTTGGTGCTTCGTTTGCGTGCATCAATTTTAGCTACTAGCCCCTTCTTTGACATGTTTACATGTCCATTTTCACACCACTCCTCTTGAGTGAAGAGACTGCATTTTTATACCTACTCCTTCCACCTAGCACAATATCTGGTTGTCAGTGATCCTTATTGAGTGAATGAATGAATGCATGAGGCACTCTATAACATAGGTACCGAAAGTAATTAATGAGTTTAGCAAATTTGAAGCAAGAAGCCTGGGCTAAAAGACCATTGATCTGTTTTCAAATCCATTTTTTGTTTCAGTTTTATAAGTAGAGCTTTGAAAATGGAAGTAACCAACTGTTTTTAAGATGAGAGAGAGGATTTAGGTCTCCAAATTATTCTCTACTTCACCCCTTCCCCTCAGATGTCCCCCCTCCTTTTTTGATGGGTTTTGTTTTTAATGTTTGGCTTCTTAGCTGAAAGGATTCTTCCCCACAACAGTAGTCCCGCGGGTGTCTGATTTGTTAATCCTGTTCCAGTTGTGACACTCTTTATCAAGAATTTCATGAATTTCCTTTTAGTTTTGGCTTCTAACTGGAATGCTTCTTCCCAGTCATTTCCCCTCCCCTTCTATCTGCATGTTCCACTGCAGAAGAACAATACATTCTTAGATGGGCATTTCTGCCTGGTTTTTGGCTCTGAGCCCTTGGAGCAGCATCTGGGTGGGTAAGTTTCCTGCTCAGGATACAGAGCAGCCCAGGAGTCTGTAGAATTTTGCTTTGGTTTTCTAAAATCCAGATCTTTTAATTTTTGCATGTCTCTTGTTCGAGATTATGGTATGGGATGAGAAAAATATACATTTTTAAAATATATATATTTTTATTGATTCCAGAGAGGAAGGGAGAGAGCGATAGAAACATCAATGATGAAAGAAAATTATTGATCGGCTGTCTCCTGCATGCCCCACACTGGGGATCAAGCCCACAACCTGGGCATGTGCCCTGACCGGGATTGAACCTTGACCTCCTGGTTCATAGGTCGATGCTCAACCACTGAGCAACTCTGGCCTTATTTACACTCTCTACCCGACTTCCACCCTCACTCCCCTTGCCCTCCCCCAACACACACACAGCTAAGTACACATGGACTATCTCTCCTGAGCTGGCAGAGTAAATGGTTGCCTGCCTATGCATGGAGCCACATCAAAAGACCCTTCTCCTATCTCATCTCCCTGATATGAGCCAAGCTTTAGCATTCGGACTGACCTGCAGGGGGTTCTGATCAAAAGGAGGTCTCCTACTGAGACAGATTTGGGAGTTGGTGGCATTAAGTCTTTGCTCCATCACGTCACATCACATCAATATCCTTCCCTATAAAAGGTGACTACTAAGGATTATCTTATAAATAGGATAACATTTGTAAAGTACTTAACATCCCTTAATTTTGTTTTATTCAAAATCTTTTACTTGCATCTTCTCATTTGACCTTTACAGAACCCTGCTAGACATGCAGCTGAAAAACTATAATCCCCTTTTTACAGATGGTTAACCTGGTGTTCTGAAACTTTCTCAGTAATAATAGTAACTCTTATCGATGTTTACTACTTGTCAGGCATTGTTCTAAACACTACGTTTAATCCTCACGTCAGATCTATGAAGTGGGTACTAAAAACTGGGAAAATTAAGGCAGAAAAGGGCTAAGTAACTTGCCTAAGGTTAGAGCCAGCAAATAGAAGAGTTGGGATTGAAACCTAGAGAGCTTGGCTTCAAAAACAGTGCTCTTCACCACTACACGATGTCCCACTGCTTTTTAAAGTAGTGGATTCGACTCACATCTGTGAGTCCAAGTCTAAGGCTCTTCACATCCTGAGAAAGAATCCATTAGAGTCTAGCGGTTCTCAACCTGTGGGTCGTGACCCCTTTGGGGGTCGAACAACCCTTTCACAGGGGTCGCCTAAGACCATCGGAAAACACATATATAATTACATATTGTTTTTGTGATTAATCACTATGCTTTAATTATGTTCAATTTGTAACAATGAAAATACATCCTGCATATCAGATATTTACATTACGATTGATAACAGTAGCAAAATTAGTTATGAAGTAGCAACAAAAATAATTTTATGGTTGGCGGTCACCACCACATAAGGAACTGTATTAAAGGGTCGCGGCATTAGGAAGGTTGAGAACCACTGCATTAGACCATACAAGCAAAATAGCACTGAAGGAGACAGACTAGGTTATCAGATCTGCCAACCTTGGGAAGAGAACTCGAATGGCTGGGGCTGATGTTCCATCCCCCAGGGCCGTGGTCGGCAAACTCATTAGTCAACAAAGCCAAATATCAACACAACGATTGAAAATTTTTTTGAGAGCCAAATTTTTTAAACTTAAACTATATAGGTAGGTACATTGTTATTAACTTAATTAGGGCACTCCTAAGGCTTAGGAAGAGCCACACTCAAGGGGCCAAAGAGCTGCATGTGGCTCGAGAGCCGCAGTTTGCCGACCACGCTCTTAGGGCAACTCTTATGTTCTACCCATTTTCGTGGTTTTATTTTTGTACTTGTACCCATTTAAAACCACGAATAGTATAGGTTTTAAAAACCGAATGTGCCATTTAGTAATACCTATCCACCCACACCTATTAAAATGTTTACTGATGCATAAAAGCCTACAGATACCACCTACGGTGGGTTTTAACAGGTTCTGTGTGAGCGGGTGATGCACTGGGTGCATCTCCCTCCCCACCTGAGAGTTGTTAATAGTATTGATCTGTGTTTCTACCTTTTATTCATTAGTAGATATGGTTGTAAATGGTAGCTTGAAATAAACTTCATCCAAAGTTCTGAAGATGAATTTCACAACTTTTAACATTTTATTCACCGTGCTGGGGAGGAAAAACTTCCTCTGCCTCTGAGGTTGAATTTCCGGGGCCCTGTGATTAAGCTAACAAAAGACAGGTAAGCAGGAGAAAAGGCACACAGTTTTTATTAATATTTATGTGCACCAGAGTTCATAGAAAAGAAGTGAAACTCAAAGAAGCAGTTATATTCAGGGCTTATAGACCATTTTAACCAAGGAAAAAGGGCTTGGGCTTCAGGGGATAATGACTGTGGAGAAGTGACTAGTGTGAGAAATGGCTCACCTGTCCAAATTTCAAGTGATGGACTAGGAAACAGAAGCATGGTAAGATGAGATTTTTAATAACACTCTCAAGACCAGGCGCCCATTTTACAGGATCACATGTAGGGCATGGACCATCGCCTATTTATTTGGACCCTCCTCCAGTTCCTCGTTGGCTGAGGACTATTTGATCACCTATTTCCTAATGGGTCGCCTAGGGATTGCCGTCTCCCATTGGGTTATCTTTAAAAAATAGGTTAGGGCCTTCTCTAGTCGCCTCTAGGACGCATGCTATCAGCCACGTGTACAGCTCTCCTCCTCTCTCCCCACCCCCATATCCTGTTTGCTCCGGGGAAATTGAGCAGCAGCCACCTGGCCACATGCTGTTCCTTTTCTATGAAGATAAATCAGAGGCATATTTCTGACACTAGGAAATATATGGAGAAACCACACTCGGCCTTCATTCTTCGCCCTTCTCTCTGGGTGGGGGAGGGGCACCTTCCTCAAAGGGGAATTTATACTCTGCTTTCAGGCAGATAAGGTGAGTGCAGAGAACTCTTGTGTCTGCTGATTCTTGTTGCCTTCAGCTCAAAATCATCCTTATGACGTAGTGTCATGTTCGGGAGTGGCATATTCGATCTTCAAATGGAAAGCAAAGGATATTGCAGCGGAAACATTCTTTCCAATGTTATCTCTTTTGTACAAGACCTACTGGCACATGTACTCTTATTTTCTGTTGCATTCCATTGAATTCTTTTTAAGTCACTAAAAGTAATATCCGATTATATAAAGTATGTTTTCAAAAGGGGGAAGGCAATTCCTCTGTAATCCTATTATTTAAAATGTTTTGCATACTTTCTTTCAATGTTATCTATGCCTATCTGTTTCCTACAGTTTCAGTGATGTGGGGCACACGTGGTCTGTAAATTCCTCAACATATCGCACACATTCTCCATGTCCTTGCTTACTCACACTCATTATTTAGCCGCTGCGGTTTGCCCATCCATTCTCCAGTTGTCAGACATCTGGGCTGCCTTCCCAGTGGCAGTTTGCACCTCTAGCAGCGGGGAGGGCGGGGCGAGTTGGCCCCTGCTGGCTAGGTGGAACCAGGGCCTTTAAACAGCCACAGGCAGTTCAGAGGTCAAGTCCCAAGCCTCAGCCAGACCCAGCAGGGCTTCTGGCTCCAGGCTCCCAGCCTTAAGGTGGTGGAGTCCCAGCCTTAAGGTGGTGGAGTCCCAGCCTTAAGGTGGTGGAGTTCCACCCTGTGGGTTTCCCAGGCCAAGACTTCATTCCTGGCCCCAGTCCTACCCACACAGAGGGCCTGCCCAAGGTGGGTTCCTCCCAGCTGCTCTCTCCTTCTGTCCTAGCTCTCTGCAGACCCACCTGCGTGCAAGAAAGGAGCTGGGCCACTGGACCTGCGCATCATGGCCCAGCTGCAGTCCTCTGAAGTGCAGCAGCTGCTCCACAACAAGTTCGTCGTCATCCTGGGAGACTCCATCCAGAGGTCCGTGTACAAGGACCTGGTGCTCCTGCTGCAGAAGGATTGCCTGCTCACTTTCGACCAGCTCAAGGTCAAGGGGGAGCTGAGCTTCGAGCAGGACAAGCTGGTGGAGGGAGGCAAGAAGGACATCATGACCAACAGCACCGACTACCGCGAGGTCCGCGAGTTCTGCACCGGCCACCACCTGGTGCGCTTCTACTTCCTCACACGCGTGTACAATGAGTACGTCCGGGCCGTGTTGGAAGAGCTGCGGTCCCACGAGCACACGCCGGACCTGGTCATCATGAACTCCTGTCTCTGGGACATCTCCAGGTATGGGCAGGACTGCTTTAGCAGCTACCGGGCGAACCTGGAGAACCTGTTCCGGCACCTGGGCCAGGTGCTGCCGAAGTCATGCCTCCTGGTGTGGAACACGGCCATGCCCCTGGGCAGGAAGGTCACGGGGGGCTTCCTCCCGAAAGAGCAGCCGGCCGTTTCCTCCGCCCGGATTAAAAAGGTGATCGAAGCCAACTTCTACAGCTATGTCGAGGCGAAGAACCACAATTTAGATGTGTTGGACTTGCATTTCCACTTCCGCCACGCGGAGATGCACCGGCACGGAGACGGGGTACATTGGAACCATCACGCGCACCGCCGCCTCTCGCAGCTGCTGCTGGCCCATGTGGCCGACGCTTGGGGTGTGGAGCTGCCTCACCGCCCACCAGTGGGCCAGTGGATCAAGTGTGACCCTGCAAGGGGCCGATCTAAACAGAGACTTGAAGGGCAGTCCCAGAGCAGCAGAAACCTAAGGGCCTTACCCCCACCCGCATCGTTGCCTCTTCCCAGGCACAGCCCCCTGCTGCCACTCCCAGCTCCCCGCCCACCCCTGTCCCCACTCCTGCCCTCACCGCCTCTTCCCGTTCCCTGTCACCCGGCCATGCACCCCCAGGTCTTGCTCTGTCCCCAAGATACCTACTTTTCCTCAGACCAACCTTTCCAGTCTGGTCAGTTCTTCTTCAGCAATTTCCATTCTCCCCAGACAGGATTTGACGTAGGAAATGACTTTGTGTTTGATCCCCAGCCGCCAAGGGCCCCCTTCCCCACGCCCTATTATCAGCAGCCGGCCCCTGTGGTTCATAGGGGTTTTCCCCGGAGTCTACCTCCTGGCCCTTATACGTCCTGGAGACAGGTGCCCAAACTTTACAGGAAGCAAGCCCAAGGCTACCCAGAGCCAAGGCCTCATTAGACTGACTTGTGCCTTTTTCCTCATCATGGACATGGACTTGACAGGTCATCTGACCGCTGCCTAAACTGACCCATTTTGTTAACAGAAGCCATTGAGCCACATTGGACTTCTTTTGGTTCTTTGCTATTACCTGTTGTTAGCTATGGCCTCTTCCTCCATGCTCTGGGGGTGACCACGTGTTATTCCTGCCTCCCCACCCCCTGTTCTCTTTGTCTTTTTGTAAACAGAAAATTGAAATTAAAAAGTTGTTTCACAGAAGTAGTTGTGGGTTTTGTGTGTGTCGATATGTAATGGTGCCTCTTCCTTCCATTAAACAATTAGCTTTGTAAGAGCAAAGGGGATATCTGCTGAATGAATGGTCATGGCATCTTAATAAACTGCTCAACGTGAATTTGCCTAAATAATCCTGATTGTTTCCATGAAATGGATTTGGGTATAAATGAACTAACTTTTTGTGATCCTATTTTCCAGAGTTCTTAAAGAATCATTGTATTTTAGAACTGGGGAACTAAAGACATAAAATGTAACTACCATTTACAAACAAGGAAACTGAGGCCAGAAAGGTGAGTTAATTGTTCTAGATCACATAGGAAATCTCTCCTTTACTGGCCTTTCCTACTTTATACTGGTTTCCAGTATAAATTATATTAATGTTCAAACTACAGGACTGATTTATATCAAACCAAGAAGGAATGTTTACCAAACATGGTTCGTCTATGAAAATCAAGGCAGAAAACCCCCTATAGCTCTATAATCAGAAGTTTAGTAATTAGATGTGCAATGAACTATGTATGTAAACTAGAGTGAATGGCATGTTTGTGACTATGACTTCTTGAATGGTCTTGAATTTTGGACTTGAAAAAATTAGAAAAATGTTGCTATCAATGACATTTTATATTAAATAAAAATATGAGTTGGAAGGGACTGTTAAGTGGACAACTGACAAAAGGCCATGGCATCTCCTGTTTTGTAGGAATATTAATCACGGAGAGTGTTTAAATGGTAGGCCTTTTGTTACACTAGATTAGTGAAATGTGAATACCTGATAAGCTAGTCAAAATAGTATTGTCCCAATAATCAGCATACCGATTATTGACTTTGACTGGCTTATAGGTCCTCAATTGGACCATTCCTAAATTTTTTTTAAATATATTTTTATTGATTTCAGAGAGGGAGGAGGAGGAGGAAGGAGGAGGACCTTCCCCTGGCTGTGGGCACCACTTCCCTCTGGCACCCGGGACCTGGGCTTCCCTCACAGCCCCGGCTTTGTCCAGAAGGTTGCCTGGAAGGATGTCCGGTCTAATTAGCATAGTGTGCTTTTATTATTATAGATTGATTGCAGAGAGGAAGGGAGAGAGAAACATCAATGAAAGAGGATCATTGATCAGCTGCCTCCTGCCGAACCCCAACTAGGGATTGAATCCAAAACCCATGCATGTGCCCTTGACTGGAATCGAACCTGGGACCCTTCAGTCTGCAGGCCAATGCTCTGTCCACTGAGCAAAACTGGCTAGGGCGAACCATTCCTAAATTTGACAACGAGGGCCAGGAAGTGTCCTGCAAAAATGAAGTTCATGAAATCACAAGAAATAGATGAGCTCAGCTATCTACAGAAGTACACAGCAGATTTTAATCTACCAAAGAATAAAATTCCCAGAAAGTAAGGCCTTTATCTTATCTCTGTATCTCAAATCCTAGTGCAATGTCCAGCACTTAGTAAGTACTGAATGCTTCTTGAGTGAATCAGTGAATGAATATGAGGTGGTGTATGAATGTGTTGCTGCTAAGACTACAACCCAAGTTTCAAAGGAGACACTAAACAGACATAGAGTCATTGTAGCACATCTGAAGGAATATTGCCAAAACAGCATTACGATGACCTTCAAGGACTCTAGAAAGGTAGTGATTATAAGTCAGTATGTCCCAACAAAGTGAGCAGAGGGGACCTGTTTGACCAATCTAAATGTTCTAATCCACGCAGGAGATCAGTGCACCAGGCTGCGCAATTTGGTAACATCAGCCTTCAAGATGAGCTCATTGCCTTTGTTCTTTACGTTTCCCAAGCAAGACAAAGCTGCATTTAGCTGTTAATCTGAGTAAACGGATGCATATAGTGTTTATATTTCCATGAACTAACAAACTGGTGGTGTGGTTTTTAGATCTTTCTTGGGAATTAAGTTAGTGTGCATTATTCCTCCTTAACCTGATCACATCTAATGAACCACAGAGAATGAGTTGTTATACAAGCTTGAAGATCAGACACTGAATCAATGATGAATTCACTCTTTTTTTTAATTGCTTGAAGTATTACAGAGTATTACATATGTCTCCACCACCCCTGCTGAGTTCAGTCTTATTAGAGATTAAATTGCACCGATCACTGAGCAATCCTGTTTCTCACACATGGATAGGAGAGCAGGTAGACGGAAACAGGGACAATCTTTTCCTCCCCAGGTGAGTTAATATCCTATGGCTGCTATAACAAGTACCACAAACTTGCCTGAAAATGACCCATTGATTCTTTAATAGTTCTGGAGCTCAAAAGTCCAAAATCCATGACCCCAGAGTACAATCTTTACTATGTTCTACTCTGTCCTACATGATCAGGCTCTACCTGCCTCTGCAATGTTATCGTCATCTTTTTTCCTTTTTCTTTAAAAAAAATTTGTTATTGTGGTAAAATACACATAACCATTTTTCTAAGTACACAGTTTAGTGGTATTAAGTACATTCACATTATTGTGCAAACACCATCTTCTGAAAGTCTCTTCACTGCTCTTTATGCTTTCAACCACCAGAACTTCTTTCTGTTCATAAAACATGCCAAGCTCTTTCTTAACTTAGGCCTTTCCACTTGCTATTCCCTTTCCTGAAATGTTCTACATCTCCTACCCACTAGTTCTGTGAATATCTAATTCTTCCTCCTTCCATCTATATCTCCTAAGAGGCCTTCTATCATTTAATCTAAAAGTACTGTTGCAATCTATCATAGTATCCTTCACTTCCTTTGTATTGCGTACCCCACTCAGCAGTGGCTTTAGTAGATGCTTTTACTCTCGCCTAGAATGTAAGGTCTACAAGTCACTGTTGAATTCCCAGTGGTTGTTAGCACAATGCCTGGCAAAGAAGATGTTCAAGTACATTTACTTCAGTTAAATGTTCAAAAATATAATTAGTTCATAGTGTGTAATCAAGTAAGAAGGCAATATGTATTAAAATCAAGCTGTATTTGATTACTTTTCTTAAGAAAATGTCTATAGGACTCTCCCATATCTTTACCTAAGTCATCTGGGTAGTTAATGCCTGGACCTTCCCAGCCCCACTGAGAGTAAGAGGCTGATAACAGTTCAGCTTGCATTTCATTTCATACATACATATTCTGGCCTTTATCTTCCACTTTAGAGCTTTCTTCTTTGTCCATTTTTGCTATTGTCACCTTGCTTTTTAAATCAAGAAACCTAGCAATGCAATCAAGCTATTGCCTGGTAAAAAGAGCCAAAGTTATTCAACGTTTATGAGAGAAGTGATTGCTCTATTGTTAAGACTTAAAGTGAGAGTTCATACGGCCTTTTCTCTCTTGACTTTATCCTCAAAGCTTTTTCTACTTTTGTTTCAAGTTTTCTGGAAAAAGAAAAAAAATAGAGTAATATTAATGATTAAGTTGACATTATCCCAGCAGGATATGTGTCTCACAATACCCTATAAGGTAAACGATGTTACATACCAAAGGCTGAAACTTTAAAGCTGTAACTATATTTTCCCATAAGTACAAACAAAGCAAAGCTCGGCACTTGAAAATAAATGGAATCTCACTTCCGGCCATGAGCATAGGACCAGGCCCCTCTCCCTGGTCAGCCACTAAGCTGGCCCTAGCATCCAGGCCCTAGCATTGTGTGACTCTGAGGCAACATTTACGTTACGTTCTGGAGTTGGTACACAGCAGCGGCTCGGTCTCTGGCAGCTCTATGTTCATGAGTTCTGCAAAGGTGAGTTATTTTGAAAACTTAGATCATTAAGGTTCATGTCAGAGAAAGGATTTACTATTGTATGTTTGTATTAATAAGCTCTAGAAATAATATTTTCATTCCCAGAACTTTAAGAAAGGCCTCTATGACTGCATGCTTAATTTGTAGATATATTTTTTCACAAGACTTGACCCATTAATCTTTAAAGATACATTTTGTAAAACATGTCCCTTGAGCCATCATAATCTTTACTCATGCATTCTATGGGCATTTTCTCTGGGTGGAGGAATTTTGACTCTTTACACTTTCTAAGTTTTCTACAAAAAAACATATACTGTTTTTACAGCGACCCAATCCCCCCGCCCCCCCCCCCCAAAAAAAAGGATTCATTCTGCAATTGCCCCATGTGGGAATTCACAATGAGTTTTAATGGATGACAGACTCTGAGAAGTTCTGCGTAAAATAAATTTGATTAAATGAGTTTAACCTAGTATTTCCCAGATTTATTTAACCATAGACCTTTTTCATATGCACCATCTTTTAAAACCATGTTTTGGGAAATGCTGGATGGAGAAAAGTAGCTTTACAGTCATTTGTATGAAAAATAATATAATTTATAATAATAATACAAGAATAAACTTTATTTCATACTAGAGGCTCAGTGCACAACATTCATGCACTGAGAGGCGGGGGGGGGGTGGCGTCCCTCAGTCCAGCCTGCACCCTTTAGCAGTCTGGGAGCCCTCAGGGGGTGTCTGACTGACAGCTTAGGCTTGCTCCCCATAGACATCCTTAGCACTGCCACAGAGGCAGGAAAGGCTCCCATCACCACCGCTGTGCTCAGACCCGTCAGCCCTGTATGTGGCTGAGTGGCGCTCCGCCTGTGGGAGCGCACTGATCACCAGGGGGGCAGCCCCTGCGTTGAGTGTCTTCCCCCTGCTTGTCAGTGCGTGTCAGCAACCGGTTGTTCTGGTGTTCAATTGATTTGCATATTACCCTTTTATTATATAGGACAGTCACAACTGTAAACCTACTTTTTCTCCATTCTGTATTGTTCTAGAGAATGCCAGATAAAATAGTTGGGGTAAGTGAAAAGGTTTGTTAGTAACATTTTATATATAAAGCTTTTTTAAAATGGAGCATTTTATATTTTTTTTTATTTTTTAAATATATTCTTATTGATTGCAGAGAGGAAGGGAGAGGGAGAGAGAGATAGAAACATCAATGATGAGAGAGAATCACTGATGGACTGCCTCCTGCATGTGATTGAGTCC